AAAGTGTTACATTAATATGCAATGTAGTGCTAGGTAAGATTTGGCTTTCCTATACAGAAACAAAACACAAGGGTGTCATTACTTTATTTCCATGCTCTCAAATACAATCAAATCTATTCACACCATTCTTAACATATGGAATATAAGAACAAGATAAATGCTCGAAGAAAGATCTCATAAGTGGGCTACATAATATGTTCTACTTGTGTCCAGCCCTTCATGTGTTCCCAAATCTGACTTGAAACTCCCTTGTTGCAAATTAAATTCAATATTTCTCTCCCTTTGTGTGAAAAGTACTGAGTAATGATAACTGATTATCGTTTTTAACTCTGAATGCACTGGAAAAACAAAGCATGCAGTTTTCCCAACAGCTTATCTCTTATACTATGAGTCAATCTATTCAATCTTTCTCTCTATTTTTTTAAATCCAAACATATTGTTTCTGCTGATTAATTCTGTTATTTTTGCTTCCTTCCTTAAAAGTATAACAACCAAAACAATCCAAAAAAGCCCTAAAGGTGGGTCACTGTTCCAGAAAAATCAGAAAAATTACCTCTCCGTGTTTTTTTATGCTGAATACTAACCTAGTCCCAAATGAGATTTGCTACACTTCCTTTTCACATCCAGTTCTAAGCAGAGAGCAACAACATGACAAGAAAAGCCCCTTATGGACCTTAACTTAATATGTTCTCTACGTAAGACAGAACAGCTTTATGGCGCTTTAGGCACGTGTATTCAGCCAGCTGTGCAACCTCACCAGTCAGATCACACTTCCCTTTCCACAGCATTCACTGGACCATTTCCCTTGCCTCAGAAGGAAGGTATTTTCCTCTCTCTAGCCTGCTCCTTACCAATTTCACTATGTAAGCATTATGGAAACAGTCATTAGTACATTAATAACTTCCACATCATAATCAAATAAAGAACAGAAAAAAAAATCTAAACAACTAGTAGAGCAAGCCAAAACACACATTAGTAAACTCTCAGCTCTACTATAGTTTATTTTTCATATATACAAAGCTACTATTTCATTTTTCAATTATTTTTATGGCGCCTGATAATGACAATTGCATACATTTATTTTCCTTCATATAAAGGACTGTATTTGTTCTTCAGTCTGCTCTTCTTTTACATGAATTTCAGGATGAGGATCAATTTTGCAAATTCTTCTTAATTTGAGATTAAATTTTTTTCTCCCCATTAGAGGTGGTCATTCTCATTTCCCAGCAATACACTGTAGTGATGGCCTTTATATCTAATAGTATCATCATCAATAAAAGCTGAAACAAATTATTTTTGGGCTATAATTTTAATTTCAGCTTCTCTGCCCAGCAGCCCCAACTCCTCCCGACGTATTTCATTTCCATTAGTACTTACCTTTTTCACCTTCTCTGTTACAGTATCTAACAACTTGATTTTTGTAAAGTTTTGCTTTATTCCTGTACCTCATGACTTGATGCACACGTAGCAAAGATCAGCAGCAAAACGCATCTCAAGGTTACCCCTCCTGAGGGAAAGTGTTTTATTTTTTTCCTGGAAGTCTTTGACACCAGCCATGGAAGGAATCACTTTTAAATCCATTGAATCCATGACAGAAACCCCAGTATACGTTCTGGTTTACAAAATACAGGATTTCCGTTATCTTCAAAAATTAGTAATATATATTTTCTGAAGCAAAAGCTTTTTTTGTTTGTCCTCCTGTAGTGACATTGTAGCCTTGTTATCTTCAAATAATGCACAATGCTCTTCACATAAGCTTAATGCTGAGTCAAATACTTTGGAAAACCACTGTCTTCCCCATGCTGGCAAATCCTTTGTAAGGAGCCTTTTATTCAATGAGAGTATTAATTCCTAGATGAATATGTCAGATATTCGTCCTGCCAAACTCTTGTTGCTGACTGAGCAATAAAGTCTGAACTTTCCTTTCACCTTGATACATCTTTGTAACTTTGACCCTCCAAATCCACCCTTCCAAAGTGAATGCAAATGTACTCTTCCAAACTGGAAGAAGCAATAACCGACAGCTCCCAGGAACCCCTTAAGTATTTAAAACAAATCCAAGGTTGCCATCTTTCAAAAAAGAAGGAGACCTGCATATTCAAATAACATCACGTGTTTAAAAAGATACATCGGGACTGGCTTCAATTTAATTACTGATCATAATCTAAATTCTATCAAACCTGGCAATCTGCAAGGTTCAATGCTCCGTAACAAACCAATCGACAGATCATTCCACCCAAAGTGTAGATGTCAGCACAGCAAAACAGTTCACGTACAGTGTGACACGGATTAGGATTGTGCACACTTGTGAGAGCAATGTCAGGAACAAGAACTCCACAAACTCATTTCTGCATGGAAGATGTTTTTTCACCAAGCTACTTTGATGTTTCCACATGCCTGGCTGATTGTAGGCAGTCTGCAACACCCCTCAGAGGGGAGGGGGAAAAAAGGAAAAAAAAAAAAAAAAAAGACAGAAAAAGTGCTAAGAAGCTTTCGCATGAGTGATGCACAACAAGCCCAAGAAAAAAATCTGAAGGCCAAAATGCCTTATGAAAGAAAAGCTTCTCCTAAAAAAAGTAGAACTGAGAGGTGACAGTCACATATATCTGTGCAAGAAGGAGGTAGGAGAGACATGCGGTCCAGGTTCATACCTATGACATAGTAGAAACAAATACAGCTTTCCAAAAAGGCAAATTTGTTGCATAACAGTTTGTGGAGTCGTTCATGGAGGAAAATGGCCACCCGATGAACCAGCCATACGAGATGTTGGAGTCAGCAGAACAAAAGGTTACTCTGAACCTGCGACCTAAGAGAAGACCGACGGAGCCTGACAACAACCAATCTGGAGAAAGGCTCTAGCCCATCCAATGAGAAGGGAGCGTGCATGCGGGAAAGGAACTGGTATATAAGGGACGGCTCTGTTTCAATTAACTTTTTTTCAGGTTGATTCACATCGGATCGTTCTGAGCACTAAGTTTTTCTCTCCTCAACAGTTAGGAGTAACTAACCGGTGCTGCAACCATTTTCTCAGTGAGTTTATTATTAGTCACATGACACACATTCTCCTCTTGACATACAAATGGCTCCTAATAGAATCAGTATAATACAATTTTCCTGTTTATTTGCACAGTTGCTCTCAACTACTATACAAAATTGCACTGTTGCACTGCAGGAAGGCTTTAGTTATGAGGGGGAGGAAGCACACATCATCACGTTCAGGCCAAACTCAGTACCCAGGTAGTATCCTTGCAAATTGCTTGCTTGTTCTTAAGATGTTAACCCCATTTGCAACAGAGTATGATTCAAAAAATAAGCTCTTGATTCAATTTTGAGATGCAACACTGAGTCTCCAGGTATAGGTATAGAAAAAGAAGTTACTTACCTGTTAAAAACAGTTTTTGACTCCTAGTTCTGTAAGGATGTACAAACAACCTTTGTTCTCTTAGAAGTGTCCCTAAGGACACAACTTCTATGCACTTGGTCTAGCAGGTGCGAAATTACAGATCAAAGAGGCCCATCAGGTCTCATTCAAATTCCTTCACTACCATGGAAATCCAAATAGAGACTCAATTTCCATCACTGAAGAATGTGAATTTTGGGATCCAGACAGTCAAACATGCAACAAGCCCAAAGTACTGTAAACAAACATATATTTTTTTCTTTTTAAATGTTACCCACAGAGCCTGCTAAGAAAAGCTGCCACACAGAGATGTGACTGACTATAATCCATCCTGCAGCCATTTCTTGAGCTAAGGTAACCCCAGCAATGACCATCAACGCATCCTCTTAACGCCCAGGCGACCCGGCTACAGAATTCAGCATCGGAGTTCCACTGAGAGGAAATGCAGTAGATCATGCCTCGATGTTTAAGATCAAGTGAAGCCTGCAGCCAATTTAGAGTTTCAAACCCTTATGCAGAAGTCAAAAGCTAAGCTCAGCCTATTTGTAGAAAAGATTTGTTGTAGAAATATCAAGTGAACTATAACACAGATACGCTAAATAATACAAAAAGATAAACAGGCATAAAATCTTACAGCCAGAGAGACTGTGCAACTGGGAAACCATGAAACTTCAGAATCAAATACTGGTAGATGTATTATCATTATATAAAATTGATTATGTTAAATTCAAATTATTTTAGTAAACATTTTAGGTGTGCTCTGACTAAAATAAGGAGAATTATTTTTCATAGGCTGAGAAATAGTCAAGGAGTAGGGAAATTAGCAACACAGAGGAAAGAAATGACAGCAGAAACTTCTTACACTACTTCAACACTAAATCGGGGGTTGCCCTAACTTCGCGCTCAGCATCCAGTTCTTCTTACCTCCCTCTTTCTGGTAAGATAGATTTTCATGTGAGGAGGCCAACTTACCACCTTTCTTCTGTTACGTCTTTATCTGTTTCAAATATGAAGACCATACATTTTCAAGCCAGTGTTTCAACATAATTTATGCCACTAGGAACCTTCACTCAAAGTAGCAAGAACCTTAATAATAAACAGAATTGTCCTTCACTTCACATGTTTTCCATAAGCAGGGGGAACTATAAAGGCATTTACTCAGCTTCAGGTGATACTATAACCTCAGAACTAAAAAGCAACAGCTTCTTCTTTATTTTTTAATAGATATTATCTGTCCTTGCAAACAAAGAGTTATTAACTGCAACTAGGAAAAGAATCAAGACTTACTACTTGACTGCACCATGTTCTACTAGTTTCTAATAAACAAGAATGGCATTTATATTAGAACCTAGAAAACTTTCAGATATTTTTATCAACTACCTACATCCTATTTTAACATTTCTAGTATTATTACACAAATTATACTGGATATCAATATAATCTTTTCTCTTATATCTCTGCCTGACAGTTAATAGGTCTGTAGACTTCAATAGTGTGTGTGAACATGATGGCAGAATGTGTATCACATTAGTCCATTTTCTTAATAGGCAAGTAAAATATTTAAAATATATAACAATCAGAAAGATAATTTCAAACTTGCCTTCTTCTTCTGTGTTCTGTTCCTGCTTCCCAGCCAGTCATCCATCTGTTCCTCAATCTCTTCAATAGAAGCTCCATGATCATATGTTGGTATATATGCATTTGACTCCAGCACTGTGTATACAGGGAATTCAGATTTTGGTTTCTTGACTTTAGGTTTCTTCTCCTCTATAAAGAAAAAAGAAGAAAAAGAAAGAGAAAAAAAAAGAGAGAAAAAGGAGGGAAAAAAAGGTAATGTTAGCAATACAGTAGAGAAGAATAATTCAGAAACACTCTTAGCTGCTCAACTCCTAATATTAATTAAAAGCATTGCACATACTTGGCTCCTCTTATACCTGCAGCTATATATGAGTTTGCCTTAGGCAGCCAAAGGAGAAGCCCCTCAAAAACACACTTAGAACTTCTCAGTGCTACACTACCTGATAATTAAGATACTAATCAGGTGAAAGCTAAGGGAGCTGTTATAGCCTGTTATATGCAAAATTTCCAAAGTCCATCTGGCTTCAAAGAAACCAGTTAAGACAGGTTGAGTTTTAGACAATTCTGTATTGCCTTACAGTCAGCTGGGCTGGGTAAAAGGTTCTGAATTAATAGATACCTTCTCTATTCTCAGATTCGTCTAGCTACAAATAGCTTTGTTTTATCGCTTAAACCTTAAGGAAGATTTATATCCTGATCTTCATTTTCCAAACTGATCACTGTTTTCTGCTCTCGCTGTTCTTTTAATAGTGCTGAATGCATATTAAATGTATATTAAATCAGGAAACTTCAGGGACAGCAAGGAAGGACAAAACAGCCACCTTAACAGACCCCTTCCTAGGATGTTATCACTGGAAAGCTTTAAATTTGGCCAAGAATTGCCAGAGCTTTAGGAACAGCAAGAGGAAGAGAATCAGAAAAAGAAGCTTGAGAAGCAAAGCAACCAGAAAGCTCAAGTACAGCAAGGGGGCTGGGTTTGTGTGTGGGGTAGACTGTTTTTTTGTTCATTTAAGTACATTTTATTCACAATAACTGCATGATCGTAAGGATGTCATTGATGTAGGAGAGCTGAAAGCCAAACCAGGAACGTTCGACTCTTCCTCCACCTTTCCACTCTCTACCGTGTGGTCATCAGCTTCCCTCTCTTCTTTGACATCCATCCAACCACTCGGGAAACAAATTCAACTCACTGAACTCCTAGAGAGTTACCCCCTCGCACAAACCAAAAAGGAAAATAACAAGGGATCAGTTTTCTCCAGCAAAATAACAAGTGATACAAGTTTTCTCCAGTATTTACCTCATTGCCCAGATGCATTATTAAAGGCAATATTGGTACAAAATTCTTTTGGCCTATTTCAAAAGTTAATTTTACTGAACAAATCATGTATACTACTCATTGCCTCACAGACAGGCAGGCAGACAGGCCAGGGAGCTGCTGCTGCCCCCACCACCACCTCAAGCAAGGACGCGTTGGATGCCGCTGACAGCACCAACAACTGCAGCTGGGGCTTTGGGAACACACGTGTTCCTCACATTTAGTGTTATCTTCTAGTGTTGCTGGGATGCGACTGTGTGGGGAACCACCATAACAGAAAACATTTTTTAAATGGTATTTTCCTCCACTCTCAAATATTGCTTCTCATATTGTTGTGCATAAACCTAACCAAAATATAGAAAAATTCTCCCAGTTCTATGAGCACACTCTCTGTCTGGCAGAGACCTCACGAGATGAGACTCTCCCGTGCAGGTACCAATATCCAACCGGCCAACTACAACCAGAGTCACCGCTGCTCATACAACTAAATGCAACTGTGGTGAAACCACAGCCAAACTTCAAACTCAACAGGGCAAATGAACAGCTTAATCTCATCAGCTTCTATGAATATTACACCTTCTAACTGCCAAATTACATTGCAATAAGTCTTCTAGTTTATTAGATAAATCAAAAAGAATCACCCATCAGCAAAAAGTAAACGGATAATCCACGATCCTAAGCACTATGGAAATAGTTTCATATCTACTAGGTGTTTGCACTACCTACTCTCCTTCCTGCAGTGCAAAATGATCAATACTTTCCATGAGTTAAGAATTTTTACATAGTTTTAATCCTTTTGTAGCAGGACACACCTTGTTTTATCAGGTGCTGAATTCATACTGCAAGAATACTTGTTCTCTGTGATTTTACACTTCAAGAACTAAACCGGTCTTCACCTCAGGCTGACGGGTATTTAACACCTCAAAGCTTAAAAGAGGAAACAAAACTTGCCCTTATGCTCAATCTGCATAACACCCTGTCATTAGGATCCCTAGACTTTGCCACAAAACCACTGCTCAACTCCCTTACCTGTATAATTCTTTGTCCCTCTAAAGGCTTCCAAAACTGGTCCAGTGTTGGCTGTGTGTTCAATTAACTAATGCATAACGAATCAGGCTACAGCGTAGGATGAATTACGTGCACAAAAGCAGATAGCTAGATTTTCATCTTATTAATATATTAATTTTGTCTAATCAGTGGCAGAATTAATACCTGGCTATAGTTGTTTACAGCTGTCCACATAATAAAAGATCACAAAATAAGGTACTGCTTTTTCACCAATAAATATCAGGCTTCCATAGGTAAGGGGCAACTATCTCTTTTTCCAAGATAGAAAGAGGTTGCACTGAGAATTTATTTCTACATAATTCCCTTACCTACATAATTACAAGAGAAAACCAAAGCATTTGCAGAATTAAAAACTGTTTAAAATCATAAAATAGAAAAATTCACTTGCATGTACAGCAAAGTGTTCAGATATAATACAAGAGACTCAGAAGCCTACAGAAAAAAAAATGTACAAAGGTTTTGACTGTGTATAGAAAAAACAGAACAAACTAATTCCACATCAAAGCAAAAATGAGGCAAACTCATTTGTTTAAAATTTATACATTTCTGTAAGCCTAATAAAATCAATGTGATTACATGCATGCATTAATAGTTAAAGCTAGATACAAACATCTGCTGTATCAAGACCTAGAAGTTAGTTTATTTTTGAGACAATTGACTAAAAACATCCTCAGTAGTGAAACATCCTCAGCTACAAAACCCTCCTCCCAAGCTGTGGGGTTTGATGTCTTTCATATTTCTTTGCTCCTCCCCTAACTTCCTGTTCCCCCCCAAAATACCTCATCCCCATACTACTGAGGGTTAGAAATAAACATTCAATAATTGGGAATAAATATTTTGCCCCTCAACAAACACAAAATGAAATACACATGCCTCTTTCAAAGGAGCCTCACTAAACTAAAAGCTAGCTAAATATTTCCTGTAAAATCCGAAGTATGGTTTGCAGGGAGAGGTATCTTGAGCTAGTTGGTACATTTGGAAAGAGCACATAAGCTTGCAAGTTCAAAATGTCCTCCAGAGGCCTGCCAAAGCAAGCAGTGAAACACACCATGCTGCATTTGCCATCATTAGGCTTCAGAGGTAACAATTAAGTGATGAGAACATTTGCACCCACACGAAACAAAAAGGCAGGCATTGTAGGAATTAAATTTCTCTGCATCTTCCTGTCAGTAAAGCATCACTAAGCAGGCACATGCATATTGCATTTTGGCAGAGATGGATATTGAACATAATTATCCATGATATTAAACAATTATTTGGAATCAAATGTAAAGTCACCTTCAATGCATTGCTGAATTACACAAGTTTGACCATAGTCATTTACACTGAAGAGGAAAGTGCAGCAAGAAGTAGCAACACAGACTGGCTGATAGCCCGGCACTACTCAGATCAGAAACATTTTGGATTGCCGGCAAAACCAAACACACAGCTAAGGATAAGGACCTTAGGCCTTAGGAGGAACTGTGGACAAGGAACCTACGTTTTAAGAGTTTATAGCTGTGGCAGACCAGTGATCTGAAATGAGCTACCAGAGCTAGTGGAGCTGATGTAGTCTGTAAACAGAGAGGTGATAAAAGCAGCAAGGTAATTTTATAATCAGATGGCAAACATTAAAACACTACACACAAACCGAGGGTCCAACATCTACAACAACATTGCAAAACTGAATAAATACAGAAAAACCACAGGAATTAAGGGCTAAAAATGCTTTATATAATGAAAACCTACAGAAAGTTATTTTCAAGCACAGAAAGACACCAAGAAGAAGGAACGACCACAAGCCAAAGCTAGACAAACCCACATTAAAATTAAGGAATATGTCTGTGGCTGTGAAGTTAATTATGTGAACAATCCATCACAAAGGGAGGCCTTCTCTGGGTTTTCTGATGAATATTATGTCTTGCATTGCAAGAACTCCATAATACTAAGAGCTAAAGTGCATCGCTAGTCCTTTAGTGACACCTTCTACACCAAGTTTTATGAAGCAGCAAAGGAAGCCATTCAAGCACCTTGTTATAATCCTGCCAAGGGACCATATTACAACTTGACCAAACTTGATGACATTTACTGAACAGTGAAGGCCCCAAACCAGCGCCTCCCAGCGAGGGCACTGCCACGGCAGGGGCACACAGAGCAGTGGTTGTTGTTTTCCTTTTCTAAAAAAAGTCTTACGTGACACCTGGCACACCTGGCCACATGAGAAATACTGAAAGGTCATATACGGTAATTTAGTGAAATGCTCTACAGGCTCTACACTAGCATTTTTGTAATTGATTTTTTTAACGACTGGATTCAAGACACTTTTTAAGGTCCTGCTTTGTGGCGAGCATCTCAAACGTAACGCCAGGCCTCGCTAAAAAGCTGTAAATGTCCTGTCCTGATAGACTTGGTCTGGCTCCACCATGCTCACTAAAGTGCTCAATAGTACCAATTTTATTAAATTAGGCTTAGCTACCAGTAGAACTAGGAATTATTGACAAACCCAATCTCTTTGCTGATTTTATAAAATTAAGAAATTACATAAAAATAAATAACACAGCTGTATTTTAAGTGCCTAAAGGCTTATGCGTACTCAAAGTTGTTAAATTATTATAGGGCACTGAATGCACTGGTCAAAATAATGGAATTTAAAAACATGCACTCAGGTGCAGTAAATAAAATACAGATGTGTATATGCACACACATCATTTAAAACTGATCCAAAACAGGGTAGATTTATTTGTTGCCAAAAAAGAAAGTAACTGAAAAAAGAAAAAGTCACCTACAATTCCTCTGAATACTTTATTATGGAAAGTGCTACCTTCTTCAGTCTTGTATGTATTTGAATAGCACAAACCCATTTCCAAAATCTGCATCTATGCTTCTGAAAATTTTCAAATTATTTTCAATTTCTATTTGTATCATAGAAGAAATTTTGTACAGAAGAATTACAACGTACGCTTTAAAAATTATTTGCAGACAAAAAGGAAAAATGCAGGAAAGCTCAAAATGCGCAGGTCACTTTTAATGATCTATACCTCAAAGTATATACTTCTGAGATTTCCACCCTCCTGCTAAGGAACCCTTCCAGCAAAGCATGCTTTTGTCGCTACCGTGTAGCACATAAAACATTTCACTACCACAGTTTTTATGCATCTATAAAAACAAGCGAGCAAAATTAGTCATATAATTAGTCATATAATGAAAAGCTCATGTTAATTTAGGAACAGTATATAAATATAGAAGATTTAAAATCATTTGTTCACATTCATCTTGAGGAGTAGGTACATTATATTACATATCTTGCTTATTAAGACAGTGGTAAAAAACTCACTCTGAAGTGTTTCAAGTTCAGCTTTAGCCAGGGCATCTTCTTTCTCCTTCATTTTTGTTTCTTTATATTCTATATATAATTGTCTGGCATCCTTTAAGAAAATGTTGCAATGACATTAGCATCCTTATACAAGCAAGCAATTGCAATGGCTCTGTTTTTAACTTCTCATTTAACCTCACATCGAAAAAAAATACATTCGTTTCCTTGAGATACAGAATTTTTTGATATAGAAATATTTACTTAGAAAGTAGAATTTGTGTACTAAAGGTTCATATGTAATAGTATTGATATTATAGATCATGATGCTCATTGACAGCCTGTAAAACAAAATGGAAAAGCATTGAAAATGAAAAGCATTTCTGACGACCGTATACAGCTGGTTAAGAGGCTGTGTACCCACTTTTTTCCCATCAGCGATCTGGAGGTTCAGGGAAGAAAGAAAAGTTTTTAATTGGAATAGTGTGTGCAGGAACACACAAAAGCAATTGCTAGGCAGCAGTCTTCTTACTGTGAACTCATTATGGTAATAACTGTTCATGTTCAAAAAAACCCAATTTATTCCTTTTTTAACAGGTTTTAAATTACTATCAAGTTGTTAAAAATAAATATTGAGGTCTTTCCCCAATGACCAGGCTAGATTCCAATCTGAAATCTATTTAAGAAACTTGTTTACGAAATTAGAAGCCCTGCCACAAACCTCACAATAATATACACATTTACAAAATTTGATGAAGTAGTAATTATGGATTTGAGTTGAAAGTTTTCCAATTTGAATCACGGACTGCTTAAGGATAAGAGGCATGAAGAGTTTTCTTAGCCTCACTTGTCTCTTTTAGAGACTGAAATTCAACCTAAACCAACAAATCTACAGCAGAGAGACTTAAAATTCTTATATACTGTGTATACATAGACAAATTCTTGTCTATATTTTCCAAACAAGCAGAACATTTCTTCCTATCAAAATTAATTGTGTTCTTAAATAAACTTAATTCTTCTTGTTTATAGACAAAAAAAAAAAAAAAAGATTCTTGCTTCAACATAATGATTCCACTTTTTATCCACAGAAGAAAATAAATGATTTTCATCTTGATCTGTAAAATATATTAAAACCTTGCTAAGTGCTTTTGGAATTTGAACTACAATCTGATCATATACATTTAAACAAAACCTGGTCTCATATGCAATGAAATAAGGCATTTAATACATTTTTAAAACAAAGCCCAACTTAAGCAGGTGTTATTACTGCATCCTATAGCAGAAGTCATATAAAAATTGCTTAGTGCAAGGATGCTACAACACAGCAACTGCCCTTGGCATCACGCTGGCACCTGAGGGAACAGAGGGCAGAATCGAGGTCCAGCTCTGAGCAGACCCTCATAATGTTTTGGAAAGATCTCACTGATGTAAGTCAGTGCTCCTGAAGAGCCGCTCTAATTCTCACAGCAGATAATAGGGTTTAATCCAAAGAATCTTGCCAAAGAACCTTGCCTTTCTCTCTGTTTCTTTTTACGTGCACGTGGGAAACAAGAAGATCCACTTCCCTGCTAGGTTTATGGAGCATATTGCTCTGCTCATGGAGGCTTTTTAAAGAGTTTGCGTAACTTTTTGCTGCTAGAATACAGCAGACGAGAATCTCTCATGCTCCTGTTTGGTCTCTGCAGCAGGGGGAGGTATTTTTTGGTTTAATAGAAGTAAGGATAAACACCCTGGTAGGTACCACTGAGGATGACTATCATTCACAGCAGGTAAGCAGGGCTTAAGGAAACACATTCAGTTTCTATTTTACAACATACCATTACAAAACTAGGATTAGCACTGGTTCCCCTTTCAGTTTCTTGAAATAAGAAATCTCTACCATACACTGAAATATTCCTTGTATTTTCCAGATTTTGGAATTTCTTGCATTTTTATGGAACAAAAAAGAACAAAAAATGTAATGGCCAACTTCTGCTGTAAGTTTGAGACGTTCAGACTGTGTTGCATACACAGCACTCAGACACACTGATATCCAGAGAATGCTTTTGTTTAAGGCTACGATTTCAAAATGGATACAATTAACTGGCATTTAAATTTAACCCATTTGACACTGAAAGCCAATATTTGATGCTAAATTCTGGTGTAAAATCCATTATTGCTCGCAGAATCTCCAGACAGCAGGCACTAGGGGGTAACTGTCAATCTCTCCAGCGTGTCAATCATGGAACAATTGGAAATGTGGCTTAGAAGAAAATGAGACACAAGAGCTGAACAACAAAGAAAACTAGTCAGAAGCACATAAATGAATTTTGGTACTAATGCTGCTTTACAGATAGACTATGGGTTATCACTGCAAATACAGCAATACCCAGGTAACAATTGTGACCTTTGTCTTGTAATTTATTAATCACAATTTATGCCGGCTGATGCCATAATCACAAAGAAAGGGAGGACTACACAGATGGAAAAGTTTACATGTAATATAAAAATAGAAAACAAACGAAAAAGGAAACTAAATGGATTCTGAAGACTTGAGAATAAAATCCTTCCTCAAAAAAGCATCAGAATTAGCTCTACAGATTGTAAAGAGAATTTAAATGGCACACCTGAGAAAAGATTTTAGCCAGGCTATATAGGTATTAGACCCAGTAAGTTGCAATGAACGAAAAACTGAAAAACAATTTTAAAAGGACCCCAAAAAGTTTCTCTAAAACAAAATATTAGTTTTCAAGAATATTCAATTTTTATCATAAATACATTTCAAAGTACAAAGTCTGAAAGTATTCTAGCAGCAGGCTCCACCTTACCTAATTTGAACACAAAAATATTTTGTTCTTTCTTGCAAGAGCTTGAGAAGTTACCAGAGAACAATAACATGGATGTGTTAGTTTTCTTCACTATCAAAGCAGTAGCATGCACTTAGTCAGGTAAAAAATGAGGAAAGAGGGCTTACAGAGGCTAGTTTATTATACTGGCATTTCAAACACCCATTTTACATAGAGGAGAGAGAATGTAAAAATAGTCAATTAGAAACTCAGAATTTTGTAATTAGCATTTCTAAATTATAGTTCAATTGCAATGTGTAAAAAGTTTCACTGATTACATTTGATTTTCAAAAAGTGCCGTGGAAGAAAAATAAGACTGTCAGATAAACATTTTTATTAACATATTTTTAATATTTTAATAGCAAACAGAAAAAATGTTATAAAGTACTTATAATTCAATTCTTCTCGATACTAGTATTGTCTACTGTCAATATCTTTAGAAATTCCAAGAAAACCTGCACTTACTACTGAGTTACCTAAAAATACAAAAAAAAATTCTTGATACTGCATTTGAGGTTTTTTTTTTTTTTTTTTTTTTTAAATCAACACATGCATATTTAATTCAAACTCTACTATTCCAGGAATTAACATCTTCTGTTCTGAATAATCCTCATTCTCTGCAGTCTCTCCTTGATGCCTGGGGGGCAAGGAGGTTGTGCTAGGTGGTTGGTTTATTTTGCATTTCTTTCCCCTCCAGCCAATCTTCCCGACTTTCTGGTCTACCTCAGAAAGCCCAGAGATCAGCAGAAGTAAGGCAAACAACTTGCCGTACTGGCCATATGTGAATCTTCACTACAGATTTTGTGATAGGGCAGAGGGATGTTTTACTTCTGTGGGGTGAGAGACTCCTACAAACAAAACAGTCCTCTAAGAATTTACAAGCAACTGGAAATAGTCCTACAAGCATATTTAAATTGTTATACTAAAAGCATTTTCTTTGCCAGGTTTTAACCTTTCAGCACAGTGTTTCTTACAATTTGTGAGAGAAACATCAGTCATGAAAAAAACTATGTTTATGGGAGTACTGAAGAACACAGAATCACTACAAGATTACTGCAGCATTCAACCTTCAATTTGCAATAAAAAATAAGATTCCTTATGCCATAGCAAAAACACCATGGAAGTACCATCATTTAAATTTCTCTTCATCATTTTTATCGTTGCTCAACAGCAAGCCAGGAAACGGGAAACATTTTACTCAGGGAATCCCTGGAGAGACACGAGGTGCTGCCGGGCTCCCGGCTGGCCACAACCTGGGGGCAGCTCCCAAGGCCCTGGGGCCGCGCGAGCAGCGGCCACCTGGGCTCGTGCTCTCCCTGCTGCCCGTCTCAACGCGCACGAGTCAAATACAGGAACCCGAGGGGAAAACGGGGCTGCAAGGGCCCCCGGGACCCTTCACACAAAGCAGCCCAGCGGACAGCGCGCACCGTTCGGTAGCCGAGAGCCGGTGTCACCGCGTCCTCGGGAGCTGCTCCTGGAGCCGCAGCCCCTGGCACGCGCTGTGGGCACGCGGACAAACAGAAGGGGATGTGAAGGAGCGGAACAACACGGGCTACCACAGAACAAGGGGCAGGAAAAGGCAAGTTTCTTTAGTGGCTGATGTTCACGCAGAATGTGGGTAATGCCACAAAGCACTCTCTCCAGAGCATCAGACAGTACCCAGTTCAATGCAAATGATTTCTGCTCGCTTATATACAGGCAGAGAACTCGTTTTATCATCTCCTCTCCCCTGACCTGCCCCTAAGCTCCTAATTGACCTCAGGGTCAAGAGCCTCATCCTCAGTTTGGTTCTTCCAACACCTGTGAAATAAGACGGAGCAGAGCGAGCAAAGGGGAATCACTCAGGCCACACATCCTGCGATAGCTCCCACAACATCTGCCAACGTCGGCACGCTGCGCGGTGCTGGAGCACCTCAGAACCCTGCAAACCTGGGAATTAGGCAGACATACAGCCCCAGAATTGACTAAATCTCTCAGAAATCTTTTTTTAATCATGCATTATTGAGTGCGATGAAATATATTTTAGTATCACGCTATGATTTTATACAAAGTCATACAGGGAGACAAAATTAACTTACAAAAAGAAGACTGGATTCAACTGGGAAACATTTAAAGCCAACTTTGCCAAAGGAGATGCCCTGGAGAGGCAAAGCCTCTCGAGTTTAATGACACATTGCCAATCCATTTAAGGCAGAACTGAACCATCTCTAAACAGGTGTTGAAATGAATCATGGATTAAAAGAAAACCTGAGGAAAACCTGCCAAGAAATTAAACACCTCTGGGTCAGTAGTTTGAATCTAATCCAAGCTACTACATCAGCTACAGTAATTACCATCTGGTGGTCTACATAAAAATATATTACTGGTCTTTCTATTTTAAGCCACTTCATAGTAGCCAAAGATCGTTAAAAACAAAAGTTTTGATCATAACTGAGAGCAGTGCAGATAACCTCACCAGGTAGCACCGAGCGGCTCCCTGCCGAGCTCCGCTGCCTCCTCAGCACTGCCAGCAGCTCACCGACGGGGTGGGCAATAATTAACAGTAATTACTGTATTTCTATTATCTAGAGATAATAGAAAAACTTTGTTTTCTTTACATGAAAGAAAAGAATTTTGTCTGTATGAAACAGACAAAAAGCCTTTCTGCTTGATTACAGCCAGGCCAACTGCAGGATCACAATGCAACATTCAAAAAAAAATTTTTAAAAAAAACTTCCTAGTTCTTGCCAACATTAATAAAAACAGTTAAAAAAAACAACTACCCATGTCTAAGCTTCAGCATATAAAGTTGAAGGAAAAGTACTTGTCTGGAACACTAATGGACACTCTATTTTCTATTTTCAAGAAATATATTGTGAAGAATAATTAGCAAGATATAACACTTAAATTGCATGTCAGACAAAACTCTGGACAATTCTTTGGGGAATAAACTGCACTTTATACACGATTCTTCTGTCACCAAAAACAGTATAATTAACACAATGTCTATTCTGTATTGCATTCACCATTTGAACCAAAGTTCTTGCACACTATATTTAGCTGCTCTACTTCTTTATGAAAATAATTTCCAGTTCCAATAAGCATTTTAGTTCAGTTTTGTTGTTCTGTTCAATAAAAAAAGACACAGTCTTCTTCTGGGTCATTACCATGAGAGTAAACTAAATGAGCCTACAAACAATTTGCATTCGGGGTTCTATATTTTTCTTGTGCCTACCTTGTAAGAATTAAATTTGATAGTATTGAATGTAATTTACACTCCACTTAGTGTTTCTTTTGCATCAAATATATTTGATTTATGGTACACTTTAAATATTCTTTCCCTGCACTTCTTCAAACAAGCTTTAAGATGTTGCTTTATCTCTCAAATTTAACTAAGCTAAATGCACAGATATAAAAACCTATTTAGTCTCCCTCAAAATAAAATTGCCAACAGTTAAAAATAAACAGTCATTTCTGGGTTTCTCTTATACCTCTCTCACCAATTTCTCTTCCAATTTCTTGAGATAAAATGCAGAATACAATAAAATGGCACAGGCCATCAGAAGGGCATGCAAACAAAGCATTTTTCTTCAGTAGAGGCCCACCTTAATTATTTTAAGTGCCTCCTTCTGAAATCTGACATTTTGAAGGAGCAGGGGATGTGGAAGACAGACACTCAATTGGATAAATGAGTCAGACATGGGCAGAAGCCCCGCACCCTGAATCACCAGGCAGAGCTGCCGTGAGGAGCATGTGCACGCTGAGGAACCTGGTGGGAGGAAAGGGGTGTTGGGGAAAGAAATCAAAGAACTGGTACCAGAAGCAGCAAAAAGAAAGTTTAAAGTGTTCCTTTTTTTTTTTTTTTTTTTTTTTTTTTTTTTTAAATAAGATTGACTTTGAAAAAGTTTTGTTCCCTTAATTTGAGGAAACAGTTCGGTTGAGTTCAGTTATTTCAGAGTTAGCCTTAAGAGCTGTGAAACACGTAGCGGAAGCAATGCGTAATTGTAAGCATCGCCAAAACTCTGCCCATCCCTGTCCCAACTGCAGTTCTTTTAAATACAGATTATTCTTTTTTAGAATCTAGCCTGCAATTGTATTAGTAATGAATGAACAACAGCCAACTTTGAAAACAATGTGTGGGGGCTCTTTAATGACTGAAAAAATCATTTTGATTAACTCAATAAACATCTACAATCTATAGCAGCTATCCCTGTGTCAGCCAGGGCAACATCTCGTTAATAAATTATCTCTGTAACTGGTACATATAACACAATTATTAAATGCCTGTGGGTGTTAGGGGCTTCCCTTTCAGCTAAACTGCCCTAGTGATTCTGCTTGCACTAAAGCCTGAAATACATTGAAATCTCTGGGGCAATTTAGCTGAGAACCTCATATTTTTGCCTTCGAGTTTCTCTACAGTCTTCTAGCTTTCAATTCCTCTGTACCCTGCTTCCCCTGCCACCACGTCCCAGCTTGCTGGTTTCCAATTTTCCACGGGTTACTAGATACCTTATATTTCACCATCATTTATTTAAAAAAAGGCAAGAGTTATGTCACATACAGTTCCTGTATTTAAACTGCACAGCAATAGGTATTGGCTAGGTGTCAAACTAAGCTCAACACATCACTATATTCAGCTTTTCTTGCAAGTCAGGGAGACGTAATGGCTGTGTTTGGAATAAAAAAATTGAAAGCCCAGTTATATTTATTTATTTTAAATAGAGTATCTCAGAATCAGGGAAAAGGACAGCTTGGAGAGACTATATATAAAGCCATAATTTACAATTCTTTATGAATGTTACTGTATTATGTAATATTTATATGTTCCATTAGTGAAATTAGTGAAATAGTTTAATTACGTGTTAAAAAATTCAAAAAGGTAGCAACAGCAGCTAGTAAAGTTAATTCTTCTCCAGCCAGCTTGTCTCACTGAGAAAAGCGCAACAAAGCTCAACTTGACCACAAGTTAGCATGGTCTTTTTTACTTTAAAAACATGCAAGATTAAGAAAGGTTACGTGAGTAAACTTGCCATATTGTTCTGCTGAAACTTTCGAAGGAAAAAGGAATCTTAACTTGCATATCTCCTTTCAAGAAAAGTTACAGTCTAAAAGAAATGAATGTCTGATCTTCATGCTTGTATTTCATTTATAACCTTCTTTTTTTTTCAAATGTCTGATCTTCATGCTTGTATTTATTTCATTTATAACCTTCTTTTTTTTTTTTCCTAACAGACTAGTAATTGCAAACCTTATGTTTTTTTAGTTTGCAGACAGATATTGAATGTCAATGCCACACTGAAATACTCCAGAGTTAATACGCAGTATTTTTGCAGAATAAAATTAAATTCACCTTACTCTCTCTGACCCATATTGATTAGTCAGTAGTTAGTGACTAAGGTCACTAAAATAACCCGCAAGTTTGTGATCAAAGCACATGGAAAGCAGTGTCCGATATTGAAGAAATGATTTCAGTAACTGATTTTCTGAAAATAGTTACACAGTCAAGAATACTAGCTGCATTTTACAATTCAAACTATTGACTGAAGAAAAAAAAAGTCCTTTGGATAAGTCCAAATTAAAGCTTCTAATTTACTACTGAATCTTTGTTACTTTAGCATTTTCCGATATCTCTTTATATCATTATCAAGTGACTTAAAAGGAAAATTCACTCAATTTAGAAAGTGACTTCATTGTTCTCTCAAATCTAAGCTAGATATTAATATATACTATAAAAATACAGTGCTTGAAATAACAAAAACATTTTTATTAACTTTTTTTTTAAAAAAAGCTATTCCGATTCGGGTGTAAACATATCACCTCAGCCTCATCATTCACTCTTGCAGTTTTGCCTAACAGGTACTTCTGCAGGAATTTTCTAACAGATTAACATCAATATTCATTTTTAATATATTCACAGTTTGATGAATTAATGAGATTAAAATAACCTACAAACAGTAATCCTTCTTTATATAAGGCATATTCATTACACAGGAAATTCATATGAGCAAGTACTATGGATTTGATCATATGTAACACCATCAAAAAAAATAAAAGTAATATTAGGTAATATTAATTATTGGTATTACCTGGATTAGCTGAGGTAAAGCTTTCACAGTGAGACAGAACCAGATTCCCAGCTTGCAAGGGAGCAAGTCATGCCACTGTGGTTTGTCCAGGACTCTGCAGCCAAACAGAAATGCAAGTTATTCATTCC